TCCTGGGATTCCCATCCCAAATCCAATTTCTGGGAATCCCATCCCATCCCATTCCAGCCAGGAATTCCCTCCCAAATTCCCCATTCCCAGTTTAGATCCTGCCTGATCCATGGTTTTTTTTCCCCTCACAGTCGGACATGCAGAGCTGGGAGGAGCAGAGCCAGGGAGCCATTTACACCGTGGAGTATGCCTGCAGGTATGGAATTCCTGGAATTCTGCCTGGAAAACCCAGCAGGATCCAGGGAATGAGGATGGCAGGAGCTGGGATTTGGGATTTTCACTTTGAGAGGGAAATTCCAGGAATTCCATTTTTCAGCCTGCACAAGTGGCTGTGCCACCCAGCAGAGGGAATTTTTTAAGGAAACCCCAAATTTCCCACATTTTTAAGCTGCTAAATTTAACTTTTCCTTTTTTTTTCCACAGCACCATCACCCCCCAACCCAAGAATCCTCCAGGCTCTTCCTGATTTTTCATCCTGAATTTCCCAACCTTGGGAAAAATTGAAAAAACCACAGGTAGAGAAGCCCCTGAATTCCCAGGAAAACAACAAAAAAAAAAAGCTGGAAAATCCCAAATCCTGATTTTTGGGACCTTTTTTCCATGGAAAAACAGGGTGGGTTTGGGTTTATCCTCCCCATTTTTTTTTTCCAGGCTTTTTTTTTCCCCAAAAAAACCCCAAATGAGGTTTTGCTTTGGGAATTTGGTGTAAAAAACTGGAATGTGAGCACATTCTCCAGGCTTTTGTTGAGGAGGAATTCTCCATGGAGAAACTTTTCCAGCTGCTGCCAAGGAATTGCTGGGTTTGGTTTTAATGAGGACGAGAATAAAAAGGAAAAGAAAAATACAAAAATACCCCAAAAAACAACAAGAAAATTCTTTTTAAAGGTTTTCAGCTTTTCTCCTGTTGTGACAGCTTGGAGTTCCTTTTTTATCCTGGGATTTCCAAAGGCATGGAGCAAAAAAATGTGGAATTTTAGGCTTTCAAAGGAGAAAAAAATTCCTTAAAACCCTACCAAAATAATAAAAAAAAAGGATTTTTTTTGGTTTTGGAGGTGACTGGAAGGGAGCAGAGCTTTGGTGTGGATCCTTCCTGGATTTTCCAGGGATTCAGGGAATGGCTGAACTCAAATTCCAGGGGAATTGCTCTGGGGTAGCAGGTGGAATTTGGGATAGTAGCAGTGACACCCCAAATCTCCTTTTCCCCACCCCAAATCTCCTTTTTCCCACCCCAAATCTCCTTTTTCCCACCCCAAATCTCCTTTTTCCTACCCCAAACCCACCTTAAGCCACCCCAAATCTTCTTTTTCCCACCCCAAATCTGTTCCATTTGGGATAGTAGCAGTGACACCCCAAACCTCCTTTTCCCCACCCCAAATCTCCTTTTCCCCACCCCAAATCTCCTTTCTCCCACCCCAAATCTTCTTTTTCCCATCCCAAATCTGTTCCTGGTCACCCCAGACCCCCTTCCTGCCACCCCAAACTTGATTTTCCCCCCCCCAAATCTCCTTTCTCCCACCCCAAATCTCCTTTTTCCTACCCCAAACCCACCTTAAGCCACCCCAAATCTTCTTTTTCCCACCCCAAATCTGTTCCTGGTCACCCCAGACCCCCTTCCTGCCACCCCAAACTTGATTTTCCCCAACCCCAAAGTTGATCTCCCCCACCCCAAAGTTGATTTTCCCCATCCCAAAGTTGATTTTTTCCACCCCAAAGTTGATTTTTCCACCCCAAACTTGATTTCCCCCACCCCAAAGTTGATTTCCCCAACCCAAAGTTGTTTTTCTCCACCCCAAAGTTGATTTTCTCCACCCCAAACTTGATTTTTCCACCCCAAAGTTGATTTTTCCACCCCAAACTTGATTTCCCCCACCCCAAAGTTGATTTCCCCAACCCAAAGTTGTTTTTCTCCACCCCAAAGTTGATTTTCTCCACCCCA